GCCAGGCCAGGTGCCCCCCGCCCCCCAGCTTCTCGCCTCCTCCCCCCGCTCCGACCCAGGCTTCCCACCCCCTTACCGTCTCCATAGCCCCCGGGGCGCTCCCCCCGCACCGTCTGCAGCACGCGAGGGGTTAAGCCCTGCAGACAATACACCGCCAGGCCCGGCTCCGCCTCCGCCGCCTCCTCCGGCCGCCTGGCCCCGCTCCCCCCTCCCCTCGTCCGCGCGCACCAGGCAGGCCAGCCGTCAGCAGGGATCGGCTTGCTTCGCCTGTGCCGCCGATGCACAGGCGCCTTCGGCCAAGGGGCAAGGAGGAGGGAGACCCAGCCGTGGCGGAGGCGTCGCGCTCCCCATCCAAACCCAAAGCGGGAGTTTCAAGGGGCGGGGGTGGAAAGGCTCTTGACTGTCCTCCCGGCAGCCACAGGAGCGTCTGCAATGACCTTGGGTCACTCATTCCTGCGCCTGCTGGGCCGGATAAGGGGATGTCTCCGGGGCAGCAGGACTGTTGTATTTATCTGGACGCTCCTGACGTGGGTAGGACAAGCTAATCCCGTCGACCGCGAGGAGTTGCAGACAGGCCTGTCCAAAATATTGGGGACCCAACCGGACTCCAAAGGCCGCTTTCTCTGCCTCTTGGTTGTCTCTCTATGGCATATCGCTACTAAAGTGAGAGCCAGTTTGGTGTAGTGGTTAAGTGCCTGGACTCTAATCTGGGAGAACCAGGTTTGATTCCCCACTCCTCCACTTGCAGCTGCTGATGTGACCTTGGGTCAGTCACAAGCTCTGGCACAGTTTGTGTCAAGAGTTCTCTCAGCCCCACCCACCTCACGGGGTGTCTGTTGTGGGGAGGGGAAGGGAAAGGAGTTTGTAAGCCGCTCTGAGACTCCAAGTGAAGGGCGGGGTATAAATCCAATCTCTTCTTCTTCTCCTCTTCTTCTTCTAAACGCCACCCAGTTCATATTTTCGATAAGAAGGCGTCAGTTCTGGAGCAGTGTGAAAAGAGGGAACTGCCTCTGAGCACGGGAGACAAATTCGTGAGGGAAGTTATAGCCACAATTATTATAGCCAATTCAGGGTTGCCGACGGTGGATTAGGAAACTCATGGAGCTCTGGTGGTAGAGTCTGGGAAGGGGAGAGACCTCAGTGGAGTGTGAGGCCCTCCACCCCTCGGAGCTGCCATTTCCTCCAGGAGAACTGACTTCTGTCATCTGGAGGTCATTTGTAATTTCGGGAGACCTCCAGGCCCCACCTTGAGGTTGGCAACAGCAGCCAATGTTCCTATGCATTGGAAAGATGTATCTGGGATGGGAAGGGGCTACCAGGTCAGAACCTGTGGCTTTTGCAGGCCATTTTGAGCCTTGCCACTTAAAAGAAAAAGAAATCTAAGCCTTGAGTTAGGTGGCAGAAGGGGGGGATAATTAATAGCTGCAACCCCTTGACTAATGGAAGTTTGTTCCTAAGATAGAAGAAAAGGGCACCATCATGCACTCCCCCCAGTAGGTAGTTAGCCCTCACAACCATTGAAAGTATTTGAGTATTGAAAAATGCTATCAGAGTCCAAAAGTAAAATATTAAATAAAGGAGGTGAATGATGCATAGCAAACACCAGATGTTGAAACAGAAACAAACATCTTCTTCTACCAGTAACGCTCATGAAAGATTGCACCCTGAAATGTTCAGCAGATTTTTGACGGTAGCATTGGCAGAGAAGGATTCATGTGGCAGTTTCTTGTCACCTCCTATGACCAAATTGAAGTTAACACTAAGGCCTTTTATGTTAGAATACTGCACACAGGCTTCCCAATTTGTCTGAGCAGAAACACGAAATGCTTGCTCAAAAACGTTATTTACCTTGCTTCCAACATAATTATTTTTGAAAGTTCTGTCGGTTCCGGATTCATAAAACCTGTATCACAAAAATACCAATAATGTAATAGGTAATTACCCTACAATTACATCTTAAATATCTTTAAAATGCTGCTTCTGCCTGATGCAAGTTCAAGTTTCGATTGGGAGTTTTCAAGACAGTAGAGAAAGCTTAATTTAAAATAGCTTGTATTTATTTATAATTTTAATTTGGAGTGACAAAAATGTAAAAGATTTTCCAAGGGCAAAGACCCACCCTCTCCATCTGAGGGGCTGTTCCAAAAACCGCCCCCCCCTCACACAATTAGGGTTGCCAGCTCTGGGTTGGGAAATATCTGGAGATTTGGGGAGTGGGGTTTAGAGAGGGATCTCAGCCTCGAAAGCAGCCATTTTCTCCAGGAGAACTGATCTTGGTCGCCTGGAGACCAACTGTAATAGCGGGAGATCTCCCGGTGCCACCTGCAGGTTGGCAACTTTAATTATTCCGAATAACGGTGAACGGACAGTAAAAGAAATGGAAACAACCTGGCAAGTCCCAGACTTGGAATGCTTTCTACCCTTCCCCCCAAAACCCAAATGGCTCAACCATCAGCCCGTCAACAACCGCTTTAGGAGAAGCATGTGTTGCTTGCCATCCTTTCGGTATTTTTTTAAAGAATAAAGTTTTTTATTCTTTCCAAGCATAGTATAAACTTCAAACAACAAACAAGTAACAAAAACGTAAGGAAGAATCGATCATAAGTATTACTAAGCATAAACAGTACTAAACAGGCAAACGTCTTTCTAATACAAAATAGTTAAACAATTTTTTCACATTAAGTGTATGACGTCATAAAATTTACGAGGAACATTCTTTGTTAGAAGTGTTAGAAGTAAAAGCATACTCCAGAAATGGAAAACACTTGGATTGGAAGTCACAACCCCCGGGAAGAGCTATTGAATGAGACTTTGTCTGAAATCTTGTCCATAGCATAAAAGGTAAAGGTTCCCTTGCTCGAAAGCCAGTCGAATTGGGTTGCGGTGCTCATCTCCGTTTCAAAGCCGAAGAGCCAGCGCTGTCCGAAGACGTTTTCCGTGATCATGTGGCCGGCATGACTAAACACCAAGGCTCACGGAACGCTGTTACATAGCATAGTACTCCCAAATTTTATGGTACCGTTTCGTATTAAACAGAGCACTCGCATTTTCCAACTGTTGGCAATACCTGTTTTTGCCGCTGTTAGAAGGATTGAGATTAACTACCCCTGTATAACCTTGGAACGCCAGAGTCCTTCCAAAGGTCTAACAATATAAGTTCTGGTGTCAAAGGAATATTGCAACCTGTAATGTTTTCAATATAAAATGATTCGTGGAAAGAAACTTCGAGTTTTGAGTCCTTGTCGCGCATCTGTTAAGAACAAGAAGTCCGGACGCGAAGTTTTCGCAAAGCGGTAACGCAAACCCCAGCGTCTCCCTGCCCATTCTGGTTCCCCTGCGGCCCAGGGAGGAACGTGCCACACGCAGCCCTGTTTCCCCGCAGTGGCGGGGACTTCAGAGGTGTTGCTCTTTCCGGTTCCTGTGAGATCCGAGGAAAGAAGGAGGGAGCCGCGGGCCTATGGTGGAGAAGCGAAGGAAGGAGTGAGCGGGGTGGGGTTGAGCTCGGCTATGTTGTGCGGGGCCTTGAACGCCTTGCAACACGCGCGTAAAGAGGTCCGCTCATTTTGGGCGAGCGTTTTCCCTCGTAGAAATTGGACTTTGCCTTCCGTTTCTCTTTAAAATTCTCATTGCCTTTCTGGAGAGGAGTATTTCCAGGTAATTTCTAACCGGGGTGTGTGTGTCATGCTCCTTCACGTCGCATGGCCCTTTTGCTCGATGCTTATGTAATTAGGAAACTTGCAAAGAACTTGCGCTTTCCCGAACCTGCAAGACTTCACGGGAGGGAAACGTTAAATCGGTAGTATTCTGTTGGGGATGATTCTGTGAACTGAAGGTGGCTAGGCTGGGAGTGGGGAATCAAACCCCGTTCTCCAGACTGGAGTCCGCTGCTACTAACCACTACACCAAACTGGCTCCCAGTTTATGGCGATCCCAAGGCGGTGGGCATTGAGTTGGTTTGCCATTGGCTGCCTCTGCGTTAGGACCCTGGACTTCCGTGGTAGGCTCCATTCCAAATACTGACCAGGGTTGACCCTGCTTAGCTTTCGAGATCTGGTGAGATCAGGCTAGCCTGAGCTATCCAGGTCACATCTCTGGGACTCTTGAGGGTGCAAAATGACCAACCGATATTTGGAAGGCACGTGGTTCTGTCCTCTTGCTGAAACCAAACAGGCTTGGGTCTAGTCAGTGCCTAGTTAAGGAAGATCCTGTATATAAATCTGAGCCCCATGGAGGAAAGGTGGGAAGTAAATACCTCAGTGGCTGGGGGTGATGGTGGAATGGTGATGCAATAATAGGTGTATACCTATTGTACTATTTTGAGTTTTTGTTACTTTTATTATTTGCATTTCACATGGGTATGAGCCCAAGATGATTGGCTTAGAAATAAATCTGTACTGAAACTACCTTTGAGACTCTGTTTGCCTCCCTAGGTTTCTTCTCCGGTCAGCTCTGTTACCTACCACCTAGCCTTTGTCTGCCTTCACAATGAAGAAAGCCCCACGGAAGAATCAGGGCGAGCGCTACCGCTTGAAGTTCCGGCGTTTGCGCCGTGCAGCCAAGGTACTGGTTTATGAGAACGCAGCTTTGTGTGACGAGATTGCCCGACTTGAGGCAAAATACCTGCGTGTGCGGGAAGAGCGCCGTTTCTTGCTCGCTCGGCTTTTGCAAGCCCAGGCCTTGGCCGACGATGAGTCTCCCGTGCCTGTCGCTGCTGCAGTTTCACAGCCGTCCCCGGACGAGCCAACTGTCCGCAAGCCTCGCCGAGAGCGCAAAGGCAAAGAGAACGGTCGGGCTTCCAGACGTAGGGTGGCAACAGAGCCAGGAATCCGCCGGCTGGTTCCCCCGCTTCCCTTAGACCCTTCTGGCTGTCCCGTTTTTCCCATCACGTTGGGATCGCTGACTGTCTACAGCCTGGGTGAAATCGTCTCTGACCGTCCCAGTTTCCACACAGAGAGCGCCATCTATCCTGTGGGGTATCGCAGCACCAGGATTTTTGCTAGTGCACGCAGGCCAGTGCACCGGTGCCTCTATACCTGCCAGATCAAGGACGGTGGTGCTGGGCCACGCTTTGAAATTGCTCCTGAGGACGACCCAGGTTGTGTCGTCGCTGGCCCTACACCAGATGCCTGTCATGCTCAGCTCCTGGAAGCTGTAGGTGCAGCACAGCTGGAGCCAGCAGGCGCTGAGTTCTTTGGTCTCTCGCACTCGGCCATCCAGCACCTCATCCAGAGCTGTCCGGGAGCATGCAAGTGTGTTGGGTACCGCTGGTTGCGCTTTGAACTGTATCGCCCGGCAGATGGGCCCCCGCCTGAGGGGTTACCTTCAGGAAACCCTGGAACTGACTATGAGGCTTTCCAAAACCAAGGCTTGGCAGGGCCAGTGGGCCTGGACTTCCCGGAAGCCACTCCTTCGCCACCCAGTGGGAACGGCTATGCAGAACTCTTCCTGCCCTGTGCTCCGTCAGGGGGATCCCCCATCCCCCAGAGCCCAGAAAGTGACACAGACTGAACCTTGCCAGATATGCACCTCTGGAGAGCAGGGAGCATCCCCTGCTGCCCTTAAACTTCCCTGTGGCAGAGACTTCATGGACAACCTAAACTGCTTGCCTCGTAGTGGTTCCTGTGGTCTTCATAGGCACATGTTAATATGTAGGTATAAGATAGTGGTATATCTGCTATAACAGATTCCTGAGATAAAGTACTTCAAGTGATTCTTTATCAATAAAATTAAATGCAAAAAAAGAAACTCTGGTCATTTTGCCATCATCACACTACGAAAACTCTTGGGAAAACGTGCAGCCTGATCTGTATTTCATATCTCCTTTGAAACACTTGAGAATGTGTTTATGTCACCAAACTTCAGCCTTCACATGAGAATGATGATTTAGGACAGGGAAAAGGTATATAAACTCTCCCTCTGGCTTTGCAGATGTCATCATGTAACCATGTAAATGACGGGAAGCTGTGCCATTCCCTAGTAAGATACTCAAAACCAGAAGTGTATTACAGGTGGTTTTTACTTTTTCCCCAAGCTGCTTTTCCAAGCCATGCTTTAGGCCAGTGTTAGTGGAACCACTGAGATATGCACAGCTGTTGTAAGGTATAAAGAGATAGCTTGTGAGGGACACAGAACTGAGGATGACAGAGCCAGATGTTAGGGTTGTTCCTTTCTTGTATGGGTTACCATGCTAGTGTGTAAGACCTGTGCATGAAATTTGGTCCAAATACAGGAACTTTGGAAATGAACATAGGAGGTGCCCTACTGGATCAGATCAATGGCCCATCTGGTCCAGCGTCACTTCACCCAGGAACCAACCAGTTCCCTTGAAGGGCCCAGAAAAAGGGCATAGAGGCAAAGGCGTTCCCCTGATATTGCCTCCCATAACAGATAATCAGAGCTTTGCTGTCTCTGGAAATAGAAGTACCCCTTTTGTCATCATGGTTAACAGCCACTGATAGACCTATCCTCCATGAAATCTGTGTTCTGAACAAAGAGTTTTCTCTTTCCTTTGAGATGACCCAAATTGTCCCCCATGAAATCTGTGTTCTGAACGAAGAGTTTTTCTCTTTCCTTTGAGATGACCCAAATACACCTTGCCTTCTAATCTTTTCTGGCTGTGGATAAGCCATCATTGGTATCACTCTGCTTAAGGTTGCTTGTAAGCCAGGAAATTAGTGGAGGCCCACAATAATTATAAAAGAAACCCCCCGGGATTAAATAACTGGTTGGTTTGCCCCCCCCCCCAACTCTGCCCTGACCCTGGAAAGGGTGCAATCTGCCTTTCTTGCTCTCTAATCCAAGAACAAATCTTTGCTTGCTGGTAGGGAAGTCTGTGCCACCTGTTCAGTGACTTTCCATTCCCTGGGGAAAGTATTTATTTGGGCTTAAACCCTATAAACCAGTTCTGTGCACTCTAGACAGTCTGTGCTGCACAGCATGCTATTCTTGTGCTAGCACTTCCATTTGCGTAAGCTCAGTGGTTTTCCATGAGTGTTGTGCAAATGGAAAGGCCAGCTAGCATAACAAGAAGTGTACTCCACAGCAGTGACTCTAGCATGCACAGAACTTATTATATTTATACTCGCCTTTTCTCCCCTTTGGGGCCCCCAAACAGCTTGCAACATTATTCTCCCTCCAATAATAATTATTATTGTATGGCAATATTATTATTATTATTATTGTATGGCAATGTGCGTAGTATAGCCAGACAACCCTAAGATTGTCTGGCAGCTAAAAGTTCTAGTTCTTTTAACATTATGTACCACTAGGGGGTACACTAGACTTGTTTTTAAGGCAAGAGACATTTCAGAGGTGGTTTGCCATTGCCTTCCTCTGTGTCACGCCCCTGGTCTCCCATCCAGAGCTGACCCTGCTTCGCTTACAAGATCTGACAAGATCAGGCTAGCCTGACAACAATTCTGAAATATGTTCAGGTGAGGGGGTGACTTGCCCAAGGTCATCCAGTGAGCTTCCATGGCAGAGAGGATTTGAACCTCAGTCTGCCAGATCCTAGTCCAACATACCATTGCACCAAATTATGGAAAGGATATACTTGGGGAAATAATTATTGTGTGGTACTGTGTGTACTATAGCCAGGAGAGGATTGCCTGGCAGCCTTAACTTCTAACTCTTTTAGTGTTATGCACCACTAAGTGATGAGCCAGTTTTATGGGGGGGGGGGGGCTGAGAGAGCTCTGACTGACCCAAAGTCACCCAGCTGGCTTCATGTGGAGGAATGCAGAATTGAACCTGGTTCTCCAGATTAGAGTCCGCCACTCATAACCACTACACCACGCTGGCTATGACAGAAGATACAGTGAAATTCTGCAAGGTCTACTTCCTGAAAAATGATGAACTGGTGAATTTGGAAAACAAAGCGGTATTTGTGAAGGGAGTGCTTTATGGTGCTCTTACTCAGATATGTCCTACCTAAACATTTCTTTCGAAATGAGAGAATTACCAATGTACATAGCTGTTACTGAACATAAGTGGAATTTGTTACACACATACTCACTACCCTGATAACCAAAAACGCCTCCAGAAGCAAGTTCCATCTTCCAATTACTGTATTGATTTCATGCTCCAAATGCACGCATGTTATCAAAAGCATTTATTTTGCAGGATTACCAGTCCATCACACCCCAAAGTAACATCTGAAGGAAACATCTGGGTTTAGGTAACACAGGAAGCAATTCAACAACGACACCATTCTCTGACTCAGGAATACCCACAATTCATTGCCATTCCTGGACCAGCGCTAGGCTCACAGCAAGACTGAAAAGCTACCGGGGTGGCTGCAACTGCTGTGCTCCAGCAGGGAACACAGCAATCCCCAGCCAGAGATGGTTGTAGGTCTCTCTGGCAGCACTGCCTGGCAGAAGCAGTGCAGAGAACAGGACCTTCAGCCCAAGCCATTGCTGGCCTGCGCCTGACATTCCACCACCGTTCACACTTCCTTGATGCAATCCGTTACCTTTGGTGGGCCTGCCTTTATGGGAGGAATGGGACTGGTGAGGGCAGCCCACAACCGTAGCCCCTAGTTGTCCATCTTGACAGGTAAAGAGGCACCCCTCATCTGATGTCCGTGAAGGCTCAAAAACACTCAGTTTGTAAGGTCTTGGCAGCTCACAGAGAGGTACTCTTGAGAAAGGCTGTGATTTTTAGGCAATGTTGTCATAGACTCTTACGACGTCCTCACAATCTCGAAGTGCCTCTAGCAGCTGCGATGCCTGATCCATCTCCTCATCTGACAGCTGGGCGATAACAGTCGGGATGAACTCCAGGCTGACCGAATGCGAGCAGAGACCCAGTGTGTCCAGCTTTTCACGGACTTGCCTCAGGGTAGGCACAGAGCAGATGAACTGGGGCAGAAGAGAGGAAGGGGGGAAAAAAAGAAATTCACCCACAGATCCCTCACCACCCTCAGGAACAGAGAAGCATTGACAGCAATCATGAATATTGTTTCGTTCCGGTTCCTGAAATGCAGCGAAGGGCTGGGAGGAAGGAACCTCGATACGCTGAAGAGGGGCCTAGGGGAGACTTAGAGAACAAGGAATCCTGAGACATCTAGGGCAAGAGCCAGATGTGGGTCTGACTGCCGTCTTCTGTGAGAGAGGGTGTGGCGATGTCATGTTTATTTGTGTGTGTGTATCTTTAAAAGTTTGGTTTGCTTGGCTGTGTGATAATCTAGAGTGCTTGAAACCGGCAAGTGATATGATTGGTGAGTGACAGAGAGGGGGAGGGGTTTTGGAATGGATGCTGTGTGGATGATTGGAATGTCTATCTGGAGTGACTGTTAGTGAGATGACAGTTGTTAAGTCAGTTAAGCTATGTAGGAGTTGAAGGAGACTCATCCCTGTGTGGGATAATTTGGTTCTGTGTAGTAAAAGAGTTAAGCAGTTTGTTCGTTTTAAGGTCTGAGAGAGAGAAGTCTTGTGTGTGTTATGAAAAGTTGAAACAAAAAGAAATAGTAACCGTATGTGGCCTAAGGAAAATATTGTTACAAAGTGACATGCCCAGATCCCTGTCAGTAAGAGGGAAAAGTGTGTGAAATATCAAATAAATCTACTTTTATTTAAGATACCAGTTCTTAAAGAAATTCTTCCCAGGAAACACATAGTTCCTCGAAAGCCTAAAATCTCGATATACCTACCCATTGATAGATAATATATTATAAAGGTTTGGAAAGCCTTATAAATTTCCTGGTGGCAGCCGGATTACCCAGTAGAAAAAAACCTAAAGAACACTTTTAAAGGGAAACCAGACCTCCCCAAATAAGGGGTCGTCACAGAGGGAAAAAGAACTAGCGGGCTAAGAGCAACAGAGGGGGAACACAGTTCTGCAGAATGACGACAGATCTTTTCAGGGGAGCATGCTTTATCAAGGACACAGGATTGTAAATTGGTTGCACCGTTTACTGTATGCCTCATCTCGTTTTTACTGCATTTGTTTCCTAGTTTTATAATCCAGCCCTCCTGCATTTATTTATTCAACGTGTATGTGTGTTTTTTATCGCATTGGTTTAAAATTTTGTAATCTGCCTTGAGTCTCAGCAAGAAAGGTGGACTGTAAAGTAACAGAATGAATAAATATGTGCATCTGGCAAATGTATTTATTCTTTGGTGGGTTGGGGGGAGGGAGGGAGCTTAGAAAGAAAGCCTCGCCCTGACCTGGATAGCCCAGGCAAGCCCGATCTCATCAGATCTCGGAAGCTAATCCGGGCCAACCTTGGCAAGTACTTGGATGGAAGACCTCCAAGGAATACCAGGGGTGGGACACAGAAGCAGGGCAATAGCAAGCCACTTCTCTGAACGTCCAAGCCCCAGTAGGGTTCACCATAAGGCTCATGACTTCCATGCATGCAAGCGCACATGCGCGCACACACACACACACACAAAACAAAACAAAAAGACCTCGTAGGTCCTCCAGAAAGATGAAGGGAACTTTTAAATTCTGAGACACAGCAGTGACAGAGAGGGTTGCTGCACCTCCATCCCCCACCTAACCATGCCTGGCAGCTCACCTTCAGCGTCATCTTCTCATCCTCATCTTCCTCTTCTTGGACATCTTCAGCGCCAGCTTCAATAGCCAACTCAAGTGCCTGCTCCGAGCTGATGGGATTGCCAGCCTGGTCCTTGGTGCCCACTACGATAATGCCCTTCTTCTCAAAGTTATGCCGCACTCCCTCAGCAAGGAGTCCCCTGCAGGAAACCGAAATGGGAAATCCCTCGTATGCAAATGAGCAGGACAGGATGACAGGATCTAGGAACTAGTCTCACAGAGAATCACTCGGCCAATTCATTTGATTTTCTCTACTGATCCTAATCAGTCAATCCTAAAAGAAATCAACCCTGACTGTTCCCTGGAAGGCCAGATAATGAAACTGAAGCTCAAATACTTTGGCCACCCAATGAGAAGGGAGCACTCACTGGAGAAGACCCTGATGCTGGGAAAGACTGAAGGTCAAAGAAGACGGGGACGGCAAAGGATGAGATGGTTAGACAGTGTCATAGATGCAACGAACATGAAATTGAGCAAACTTCAGAGGATGGCGGAAGACAGGAGGGCCTGGCGTGATCTTGTCCATGGGGTCACGAAGAGTCGGACTCGACTGTGCGACTGAACAACAGCAACAACAACTGATCCTCCAAGGAGTAACTCTATGAGCTAAGTGAAGCTATCTGTGAGAGACTGGCCGGAAGTCAGCCCATGATCTTTATGGCAGGGGAGAACTTGTGCTAATTTGCTACTCGACTGGCTCAATTAAATAAGCTCTAGCTGCAGGCAAAATTATTACTAGAGCAGGAAAATTATTTGCCAAGAGGTCTTATTTCCCTAAGGAGACAAAAGTCCCATGTCCCCACATCTGTACCCTGTAGCTCACAGTCCACAGTTCTCTCTCTAATTCCACCCCTATGAGGGGCAGATCTCCTATGTTCTCTTACCCAGCACACCCGGTGGATGCCACCTCCCTGGCTCTTCCTCTCATTCACTGGAGACCCAAAGAGATTCTCTCTGAGGTCTTGTCCCTGTTGAGCAGGAAGTAAAGGGACGGATGAAGGAAAATGTGCTAGGAAAAGGGGTCCTCGTAACTGGGAAGTCTTCTAAAATATATCCTTTTATTTAGCAAACATTTGTAGGTTTGGGGTTGAGTTTTTTTTAAAAAACCCTACTGTTCTAACAGACCCCAACCCTTTGTCTTTTCGTTCTGAACTGCCTTTCCTCTCTTTCCTTCTATTTCCTGTATATTTTTAATGCGGCTGTTGGGGAAATGATGGGTTCAAGTGGGTGAGGCAGAGTGTTAGTTTACACTGTGCACTTCTAAAAGCTACAAGCAGTGAAAATTGCCGAGAAAAATCCTCTCTCCCTCCACACTATGTTATGGAGTCCGACCGCCTTTCTCAAAATATCTACAGGTCCTTGCCCCAGTCCCCTGCTTCACCCACTAGTACCCAACCTCATCCGACAGGAAGCCAGGAAAATCAATAGTTCAATGATCAGCTAGGGAAGCCACACACACACCCCCAACGAAGCCAGAGAAACTAACTATGGTAATAAAGGTCAAACTAAACAAGACAACAGAAGACCCATAAATGACTCTCTGGATACTTTTATAACAGCTGCGAAGTAGGGTATGATTCACATCTGAACTGTAATGCAGGGAAGGGAGAAAGGAGATCTCTCCCCTCTTGGGTGCATTTTTACACTCTCAAGCTCAACACGCCCTTCACCCCCAGTTTTAAAAATAGTGGGAGATCTTATCAGCTGTTTCCATAACTCCAGGTTTTGACCTACGTCAAGGCTTAGCCCTCTGCACACCACACTAACCTGTATTTGTTCAGAATACGTCGAATTTCCTGGGAGGTCCTCTTTGTGTTGTCCGTCAGTATTTCAATGAGTAGGGAGGAGCCACCGGGGCCGCGCGCTTCGAAGAACTGGAAAGTGGATTTAGATTTGTCCTGCCAAAAGTAAAACACAGCAAGCCCTATCTTTAGGGGACCACGATATGATGTTCTTCCTTGCATTCAGGAGTTCTAACCCATGTGATCCTTTGGTTTCGGGGTAAATGAAAGCCAAGGTTCAGTGTTCAGAGGACAGGGGGTTGGACCCAACCAGCTCTTCCACTAGCGAGAAAGGGAGGAGGGATCCCCTTAGACAGCCCAAAAAAGGTTCTGCTGGGGATTGTGGGACCAGTGTTCCCTCTAAGCTGAGTTAGTGTGAGCTAGCTCACAGTTTTTTAGCCTCTGGCTCACACATTTTTGTCTCAGCGCAGGAAGGATGGCTCCAGAGGAAAGTAATCTATGCAGTAGCCAAATCACTCGCTCTCAACTTTAGCTCACAAAGTAGAATTTTTGCTCACAAGACTCCACAGCTTAGAGGGAGCATTACATAGGACCTGCATGGACAAAAGCCAAGTGGGACGGAGGCTATAGTAAGGAGGGAAATTGGGCAAGATGGAGTGGAAAAGCTGGCTTTGACTCATGTTCTGCGGGCAGAAGTTCCCAGTTTTAATTCCTGAAATCTCCAGTTAAAAGTTCTCAGCGGAAAAGACCCTGCCCTGCCCTTATCCCTGAAGAGCCAGCAACAGTGAGACAATACTGGTCTAGACGGAAGAGTGGTCCAGTATGGTATAAGACAACTTCATATGTTAATTCAGTTTAAAAGAAAAGGACTTCTGTGTACTCAGCAGTCAAATGGGACTAGCCAAGAGGAGAATCTCATCTTTCCCCCAAGACAAATAAACAGGGAGGGGAGAAATCAATAAGACAGTACCAAGGATAAGAGACCATCCCTGAACTGTAATGCAATTCCAAATATTTTCACATCCATATTCTCTATTCTAAGCATGCATTATCCAGGATTCTTATTGAGAGATTCTGGCTTCTAGCTATACATATATTAGAAGTGGGAGTTCTGTAAGGAATTGGGAGCAGGGGGAATGAATAAATAAATTAGGAGATCTCCCCATAACCCAACCCCCAATTCTAGGATACCATAACCTCTGAGGTGTAGACAGGGGTCATTTCGTAGAAAAAGAGGTGTAGGAGCTCATTAGCATAACTCATTAGCATGACTCATTAGCATGACCTATTTGCATATGCCACACCCCTGACATCACCGGAAGTGTGTCAGAAGGCAACACCCACCGCTCAGGCTCCACTGGACTATTTTGAATTGCTAACTATTGGGGGGGGGGGATGTGCAGATCTGTCCTCGCAGAGGAGGGAGAGCTTGTACCTGAATAAAACTTGGTCTTAAAGGTGCCACTGGACTGTTTTGAACTGGGGAGAGCTCTGCAACTTACCTGGCTGCTTCTTGCTCTGACTGAGGGCTGCTGGGAGCAGGGAGTGGGGCTTGTTGCATGTGCCTGCCCCCTGGGCTCTTTACTGCCAGAGCTCCACTCCTGTGCGCTCCTGCAGGAAATGACCCCTGGGTGTAGAACAATTTCTCCGACCCACCTCTGCCCTCAGCATTGTCTCCTAAATGGCAGCAAGCATGTTCATTTCTCATTGTGACATTTGGTGTCTGGATGTGTGGGTCTTTTTCTTCTTTCTAAATTTACTAAGTAATATTTTTCTTTACACTGGGGGAGTTCCTTCAGTATGCAGAAACTCCTACCTTGACTGTGGATGCTGCTCGGCTGATGGTCACTCAGCCACCAACTTTGGAAGGAAGAAATCAAGGGTACATAAAGAATTCTGAGGAATGAGGGGAATCAACAACTGAATCCCTTGCCCAATCCACACCCACATCCCTCCCCCAAGAACACAGTAACAACACTGCTGAACTCTGGAGCTAGATAGGCAATTCCTCTGCTCACCTCAGTTTAAGCCTCAACAATCTAGCAGTGTAATACAACTGCCCAGCAGGCTTGAAGCTAGCTGAGTATGGAGCTCAATCAGCCCCGAATGGTCTGTAAGGTCTTCCTCATAATCCAGCTCTGTATGTTCACTTTCATATTTTGAATTCGACTTGAGACACCCCTTCCTTAAAAGGTGGGCTGCTGCTGATTTAAGTAAATGGGTTGGGATGTCTGGAGGAGACAAAGGTGTTGTAAGATTGATATAATAAATAACCCCCTTCCGATCATTATTAGCACATCGCTCTCCTTCTCTCAAAATACAGTGCTCAGGAAAAAAGACATGGTGGTTGTCTCTGCAGCCGGTCTCCAAGCAGTTCAGAAACCTACCCCACTAGAAATAGCTCCTTCGATGGAGGTTTTTGGCATGCTCTTGCTGCGACACTGTTCAATAATATTGGCTAAATTAGTGTTCAGCTCCGGATTGGGACCTCCTTCTGCCAAAGAGATGCAAGAAGAGAGAACAGATTATCACTACCATGTCTCCAGCCATTAATCAGTTAATCAGTTTCAATTACCAATTTTTTAAAAAAATTATCAATCAGCCACAAAGATTACAGGCAACATATGCCTTTAAAAAATGTTTTTACATATGAGCACTTTAAAAGGCTACTAGACGGCAAACATCTTAGAAGAGGCATTCCCCGCTTTGTTCACACAGAGAATGTCTCTTCTAAGATGGTGCTCACCAGGGGTCATTTCGTAGAAAAAGAGGTGCAGGAGCTCATTAGTATAACTCATTAGCATAATGTATTTGCATAGGCCACACCCCCTGACATCCCCAGAAGTGTGTCAGAAGGCTCCACTGGACTGTTTGGATTGCTAGCTATTGGGGTGAGCAGGGGGTGGGGCTTGTTGCATGTGCCCGCCTCCTGGGCTCTTTACTGCCAGAGCTCCGCTCCTGTGCGCTCCCTGTAGGAAATGACCCCTGGTGCTCAATGAAATATATATTTTATTTTATTT